CCCCGGTGTCCAGGCCATCAATCGTGCCATGCAGAAACCCCAGGAAGAGTACAGCATCGGCGTGTTAGACATTTACGGCTTCGAGATCTTCCAGGTACGGCGTCCACCCCGTCCATGCCTCATCCTTCCCCCCCTCCCCCCCACCCTGGGGTGACCCAGTGGCTGGGGAGCCTCGCGCGTCAGCCCATCTTCCCCTTCCCTCTGCAGAAAAACGGCTTCGAGCAGTTCTGCATCAACTTCGTCAACGAGAAACTGCAGCAAATTTTCATCGAGCTCACTTTGAAGGCAGAGCAGGTGGGAGGGGCTCCGCGAATGGGTGGGACCACGAGGGGGCGGTGCCGCCAGAGGGCGCTCAGCCCCTCCCCACACCATTCTTCAGTCTTAACCTACCCAGTCTCTATCCTGATTGTATTCAAAGGAGACTGTCTGCCTATAAAACACAAACTCACTGCCTTGAGTGGATTCTGACTCATAACGACCCTGTCTAAGATTTCGGAGGCTGTAAATCTTTACGGGAGCAGAAAGCCTCATCTTTGTGGATTTGAACTACCAACCTTGTGGTTAGCAATCCAGTGCTTACCCGATGATACCACCAGGGCTCCTAACAAGCCCTGAGAAATTCCCTCTTTGTTCATTCAGTCAACAATGAAGTGTTGTTGAGTGTTATGTAGTGAAAAATTCCTGTTGCAACGGTTACGCGCTGACCAAACGACTAGCGGTTCAAACTCCCCAGCTGTTCTGCGGGGGAAACGCTTGGTGACCTGCTCCCGTAAAGATGTCAGCCTAGGAAATCCCATGGAGCCGTTCCACTTTATCAAAGGGTTGCTATGAATTGGAATTGACTCAACGGCCCCCCAACATTGATTGGTGAGTAGGATCCCTGGGTGGTACAAATAGTTAGGTGTGGCTACAAATGGAACAATGGTGGTTTGAAACCACCCAGAGTGCCTTGAAAGAAAGATCTGGCAATCTACTTCTGAAAGATCACCAGCTTGAAAACTCTATGGTGTTTTTGTATTCAGTAAGCACTGTGTACCAGGTACTGTTATAGGCAGGCACTAGGGCCACAGTTGGGAACAAAATGGACAAAATTCCCTGTTGTTTTAATTTTGAGCCCCCCCCCCCCCGAAGCAAAGCCTGAGGCAAGGATTCAGGACCAAGTATCTTTTCTGGATGGTGGTCCCAGGAAGCAGCAGGAGTGGAGAGGGGAACTGAGACTCAAAGCAACTGAGGTTCAATTCCTGGGGAACCCCTGGGAGGTTGCATACAGAACCTCTCAAAGTTGCCCGGGCAGAGGAGCAAGGGAACTGGGACACTGACCCACCCACTGTCTTTTGCCATTGGGTGAGGAATTGGAGAGAGGGGTGTTTCATTGCCAGAGCCAGATGAAGAGGATTTGGGTGTTTGCACCCCACTTTGTAGAGCTTACATTCCAGAAAGACATACATCTACCTTTGCCGGAACATCAACCCACCCCCAACCTCTAATCCACAGGAGGAGTATGTTCAGGAAGGCATCCGCTGGACCCCCATTCAGTACTTCAACAATAAAGTTGTCTGCGATCTCATTGAAAACAAACTGGTAAGAACCAGGCCAATTTGGAGCCCTGGTGTGGCGCCATATGATAAGCACTGGACTGCTAACACCAAAGTTGGTGGTTCAAACCCACCAACCTCTCCTTGAATTGCTAGATGGCACTTAACAACAACAATGGGGCCCTAGAGACCTGGGCAGGGCAGGCTGGACTGTGTGCTCAGTTACAGTTCCCATGGGTTCTCCTCTCTTGGGCGGACAGAAATATCCCCTAATCCACTCTTAGCCATTCAGTCTGCCCACCTGCTCACCACTCACTCAGTCACTCAACAAGCATTCCTCTGTGCAGCCCCTCAGAGGGTCAGCGCTGGCAAACTTACCAAACTGAGAAGGATGAGGCATGAACCCTTCAAGGGGTGCTCCCCTGTCCTACACCCCAGGAAGCTATCAAAGCAGCCTCCCCACCCCACATCTTTGCCCCACCACTACCTTTTTCTTTTTTTCTTTTTAAATCGCAAATTGAGTGATAGTTTATATGGGAGAACATCGTAAATTGCCATGATTACAATCTCCTCCGTGCATCATCCTTCAACAATATGTGCTTCCATTTCCTCTGGTTTTGTTTGTTTGTTTTTGGGGGGATGTACACAAAAACACTCAGGCACATATAATAATTTAAACAACCAAAGGGCACACTCTGCAAGCCTGCCTCCTGGCTGCCAGCACACAGCCTTTCTCTTTCCAGGAGTCTAGAGTCCTCAGCTGCTCCCTCTCTCCATGTCCTCATCTCTGCCTCCATCTCCGGTGTCGCTGCTTCTCTGGATAGCCCCATCACTACCTTTTGCCCTTATGTTAGGAAACCCCAGAATGTGCAACCTAAATTCACCCAACTTCGCCCCTCGCCCCTCCTCCAGCCACACCCCTGCGAGCTCTCCCTGCCTGGAAGTTGGATGGGGGACCCGGCATCCGGTAACCCCCTATCACACACCACTCCTCTCTTCTCTTCCCCCATCATTCTCCCCCTACCACGTTCCTCACCTCCTCCCGCTTTTCCTCATCCCGCCCCGCCCCTCCTCTGCCCGCCCTTCACCCGGCCACGTCCCTCATCCGCAGAGCCCGCCAGGCATCATGAGCGTGCTGGATGATGTGTGCGCCACCATGCACGCCACGGGCGGCGGCGCTGACCAGACGTTACTGCAGAAGCTGCAGGCGGCCGTGGGCACCCACGAACACTTCAACAGCTGGAGCTCTGGCTTCGTCATCCACCACTACGCCGGCAAGGTGCGCGTGCCATTCCACCCGGTGGCCCCCATTGGTGCCTCCTTACAGACCTCTCTCACAGGGACCCCCACCCAGGCTTCCACCTCTCAACCCACAAACTGGACGAGGCCCATCCTCACTCCCAACCAGGACTGCGGGACTCCATCGACTCCGGGGTCCAGACCACCACCATCCCCAAACCCACAGACACCACCACCACCGCTGGCCCTCGGCCAGCAGGACCCCAGGAATTTCCCCAGCTCCCCGAAATGGTCCGGAGGGCCCCAAGTTCCTTCAACCAGGGATAGTGAATCCCACAAGTCCCTGGTTTAGACTTTAGCTTCCCATAGGGTCGCTATGGGTCGGACCCGACTTGACGGCACTTAACAACAACAACAACAACAACAACAACTAACAGGACAGCCCCCCAGCTACACAGAAACCCAACATTGATCCTAATGTGGTCAACGAATGACTATACTGCAGACCCAAGCGCCACTCACCCCTTGACCCAGGACACAGCCCCCACTTCTGACCCCAAGTTGAAGAGCAAATCCTCAAGAGGACACTGTCCAAAATGGACTAGAGCCACCCATAGGCCCTACTAAAGAAAGCCACCAGCCTGGGACCCTGGAAAGACACATAGACCCCTGATAGAACAATAATTTCTTCCGTTATTCTCACCATGGGTATCAGGCACCCCCAGTACCCCCTGCCTCTGCAGTGCCCCCGCCCCAGTCCCTAAAGTGAGGTGCAAACATCCTGGCCAGGTCCACAGATTCCCTGCCACCAAAGGTGGATCGCACACCCAGCCCACACCCTGGTTACTCTCTGACACTGCCCAACCCCCAGCTAACCAGGACACAGCCAGCCAACCAAACCTCTGACTCCAATTTGGGCAGCAGATTTCCTGAGACCTCTGTCCAGGTTGTAGCCATCACTCCTAATCTGACCTTCTGACCCAGGCTCCAGCCCCTGCCCCCCAATCTCAAAACTGCAGTCCCCCGACTCTCCAAACTCAACTTGGCACCAACCCTCTAAGGAACCTAGGGAGGTCCCAGTCTGCATCCCTCATCCCCCATTCTGAACCAGAGATGCCCCAAGCAGACCGTAGATACCCGCTGGTCCTGTCACCCCAGCCCTTAGCTCCTCATTTCCCCCAATCCCTTCCCACCCCTCCAGGTCTCCTATGATGTCAGCGGCTTCTGTGAGAGGAACCGGGATGTTCTCTTCTCAGATCTTATAGAGCTGATGCAGACCAGTGAGCAGTGAGTGGGCCCAGGCGTGGGGCCTCCCGGCTGAACCCCCCTATGGGGGTGGGGGTGGACTGGGGCTACCCACCTTCCCCTGAGCTCCCAGCATACCCTGAGCTGTGCAGGGGGTGGGAGGTTCTGTGTGGCCAGGATTATGCTTTGATTTTTTTGTTG